GAAAATAATTTTGAATATATTATCTTATTAGCGTTCCACACACACACACACACACACACACACAGACACACACACACACCCTATATATATATATATATATATATATATATATATATATATATATATATATATATATATATATATATATATATATATATATATATATTGAACAATAAAATATTAAGAAATTAAAATCTTTAGACAAACTAGGTTGCATATTAATATTATTTCGCTTTTATTATTTCCGTTAGAATCCTCGACTCGTTTCGGCCAAAATGCCCATCATCAGCAGAAAAAATATTCTGCCTGTTAGTAGCAGTGAACTACAGAAATGAATGACTTGATGGAGAAAATGAACTTTTTCTGTAATTTTCATTTTTTATATTTTATTTTTTTTAACATGTATTTTGGCCAATCTTTGTGTTAGTCGAACAGTCACTTTTAAGTTATTACTTAAGATAAGAGCTGGATGGATTCATACTACTCTGAATTCCCTTGGTCATTTTGACAGTTTTATTGGCTCCTGGAAAGATGTGTCTCTGTTAAGTGTGTGTGTATTATTTGGTTCTTATGGAGTGAGTGAGTATGATGTGTGTAATCTTGTATATTATATGGGTGTGCGTTATCATTTGGCTCATTAGGGATTGAGTATGATGTGTGTAAGTGTGTATATTCGTGTGGGTGTGTGTATAAGTGTGAGACCCCAACACCTCCGCAAGCATGTCTGTCTTGTGTGGGTGAGAAATGTGTGTAGCTCCTGATTTGTGGGGCTACATATTAATTCTATATTGTTAAATTTGTGATTAACCCTTTCTGGGTGGAAAGTTAGAGGCGTCGAATCCACTTATTTTCATTTTTTTCTAAAAGTCTTTCTAATTTTATCTACTCTAAACTTTTCTATTTTCTCAATTTTTATGTTTTTCGCATGGGTTTTAAAATAGTGTTTTTTGTAGGCGGAATTCTTGTTCTACAGGTAATAATCTTTCATGGGGAGCCGACTTAATTCGATTGCAATATTAATTCTCTTGTGAAAGTGTCATTCAGATATTCCTACATCTTGTTTCTAGCATAGTGTGCTAGGAGGAAAATTATGGTATGACTTCTACACTTAGAATCGTGGTAGATTTTGAAAGTAGATTTAGTGACAGAGATAATGAGTGAATTCGTGTGTCTAATGTGGTGACAGCATAAGCTGCTTTTGCTGTGACATGGTTGGGAAAATCCTGTTCTTTTTGTTTTTGGTTTATTACGGATTACCTTGTCCCCTGAAATGTGGTTGCTACCATTAATTTCCATTAGGTTCTTAGGCCTACGATATGGTAGATGGCCTGTTTCCTCAAACATTTTTTTTAGGTCTGATTTGAGATGTAGTATTTCCTAGCGACTTTTGATTATTTGAGATAGTGGAGGCAGAGTGGGGTTGAAAGTGGTTACAAGAGAGATGCGGCTGGGTTTATTTATTATCTTGTACATAAGCGTGTCTTCGTTAGGTGTGGAAATTGCTTTATTTATTTGTTCCCTGATTAGGTGTTGTTTATAGCCACCTGTTGTGAATTGATGCTCCAGATTTTTTGTGTATATATATATATATATATATATATATATATATATATATATATATATATATATATATATATATACAGACTGTGCGCTTTATCAGAGCGGCTAGATATCCGATAACCTCAAGCCGGGTTAGAAACCCGACTGATTTGGCCTCTGTCGGAAATTTTAGCCCAGGGCTATCTAATATATATATATATATATATATATATATATATATATATATATATATATATATATATATATATATATATATATATAGAGAGAGAGAGAGAGAGAGGAGGGGAGATGGAGATGGAGATAGAGAGAGAATACTAATTTAAATTAAGTAAATAGAAATACAAATTTTAAAAATAAAAAGAAGTGAAATCATTAATGTGTGGCTATTGTCTATATTAATATTTTAAGCAACAATTGTTATGAAAGAAATATCGAATTATAACGAATTTTGATGGAGTTTATTACAACAGAATTGGATTTGGATACATGAGTAATGGATGAGGAAATTTGAAAACAATGAATATATCATTGAGAAAACCAAGTTCGAATTAAATCACTAGAAAAGAAATATTGTTTTTTATTGTTTCACACGACTATCTACTTATTAGATGAATGGAAATAGTATGCGCCAACTTCCTCCTGTTCAGCATCACCCAGAAAATTAAAAGAAATAATTGAAAGTGAAAAAATAGATTAATATGGGATAATCGGATAATAAGATTAGAAACTAATAGAATTTTAAATGAATGAAAAGTGGAATCATACGAAGATAGACACAAATCTTACAAACAATTATATTATTTGTAGAAGTTGATGAAAATATGGAAGGTAATATGTAAAATAACTGAACACAAAGACTGAAACAAAAAAAAAGAAATATATATATAAACACAAATAGGAATATTTAAGTAAAGAAGAAACATCACTGATAGGTTCGATAAAGTCTAACTGACGACTGTTCTCTAAAATAGCTTCTAATCAATTGTTAACCGAAGCAAGCAATGGCTTGTAAATTTTAAAGCCTTCAAAAGGAAAATGTTAAAGTTTAACCGTAATCAATATGCCTATATTAGCATGGCTGATGCCAAGATGGTTCTCACGATTTTTCTAATGGGTGGAGCGATTATATTAAATCAATAATTCTGTTTGCAGGTAAGAAGGTTGGTTAAGTGATACGTCACAGCCATTTTTTCTTGTCCTAATCCATATTTCACATTTATAAATCTAACATTCGTCCGTGCATTGAATATTGCTGCTATATCTGGAAAGATGCTCCGTCTCTATATCTCTAGATTCTTGACTAAACACAAAAAGTGTCTGTAATATTATATCCTGTCGTAACGTCTCAACTTCAGTCACATTCCCATTTCTTCAGGTGGTTGGAATGTCGAACTGAACCCTTTATTTCGCTCACTGGTGTAGACTGTTCTAGTTTCATGTGCCATGTCTAATAGATGTCAATTATCAGTTATCACCTGTTAATTCCCCTATCTATGTTCTCCAGGCCTTAACCAGGTATTGAACTCACACTTTTGGGTCGCGTCATCGCCTTCCCTCGCTTTTTTCTATAAATATTTAAAAGGCAGTTTTTTAATGAGCTGTTACTCTTGGTAATTCCCCATCCCCTCCTTCCCTAAGAGCGATGGTGGACGCTGGACGTCTTTCGTTTTGGTGTGATTTTTGTATTTGTTGTTGTGTCTGAATGAATGTTTTAGTGAATGCTTGGGATGAATGTATGTTTTATATTATTAAAGTCCCTTATTAATTTTTTCTGTCATATTTAAGATTTGTGGGTTTTTTATTATTTATATTATTTTCTTTTAGTTTATTGTAAAAACTTTTGAACATTTTTTAAATATTCATTAGTGTTAGATTTTAAATTGTTTTCATTCCCCTTCACAGACAATGAATTTATATATGGGCATCCTCCATAATACCTCGTTGTCTCTATGAAAGTTATCCCTTTCATAGCGACATGAGGTATTATGGAGGATGTTGTAAGAAAAGGTAAGTTACAGTGCGTTCACTATTTACATTATACGGACTATTATCCTCATCTTTGTAACCATATTTATTACAACTTTTCGGCCGTTGTATGCTCCGGCCTACTTCAGGTGGTTCGAATATCGAACTGAACCCTTTATTTCGCTCACTGAGGTAGACTGTTCTAGTTTCATGTGCCATGTCTAATAAATGTCAATTATCAGTTAATTCCTGTTAATTCCCCTCTCTAAGTTCTCCAGGCCGTAACCAGGTATTGAACTCACACTCTTTGACTCCCGTCACTAGATCTAACTAACGACTTTATCCACTGTGCCATGTGTCCTTAAGAATGCGTTCTTTTGGTGTTAGAAACTGTGTTATGGTTGGGTCAGTTTTTGTGGCTAGGTAAGTTAAACGTTAAGTCAGACATTAAGAGCGTCCATTTCCCCATCCGCCATTTTGGCCTTGTGACACATTTTGTATTTTTATAAATAAATATCGCTCCTCTCCTTGGTACCTCAACCATTTGACTTTAAGCTTAATGGCTATTAGGTCCCATAGGTTTACCGTTGGAATATTTTTCTTTAACCGTTTGTTTTCTTCTAATAGATTCTTTCTTCTCACATCTCACCTGGAGAAATCTACGCCGAATTTCTACTTGGAATCTTCGAAAATTTAAATCCAACATCAATACACATCTTATGTCTTCCTGAATCCTGTTCTGTAATAGTCCTTTCTTCTCACTAATGTCTTCTAATTTTTTTTTAGCAAGTCTTTGTCCCTTTGCAGCGTTAACGAAGAAGTGTTAGATAAGAATAAATAGATGAATGAATATATTCAGATCTGATTAATAGAACGATTTTGTGAATCTTCGAAAGATCGAATGAAAAATTGTAAAAGAAAGAATGAAATAAAAATAAAGCAAGACATCAGTAAAAACAGCCATAGCTGAAGTAGTAGAATTAAATAATGAGAGAGACAAGTGAATGATATTAGAAATAATACAATAAAAGAATGGGATATTAAAGATGCAAGATCTAGTTAACTTGGAGAGGAGTAGAATGAAGGGATAAAACCTACAAATATAGAATAACAGAAACAAAGAAGAAGAAAAAGAAATCTGGCATATGCTAGAGGAAAGAATGATTGAAATAAAAACTTGCAATGAAACGAACGTGGAAGAACAAAAATAACATATAAAATAACGTTACATGGCACAAGTGCCAGGAAGACTAATATAAACCAATTATTCAACTTAGAACGGGTTTTATCATTTTGATAATCAACTTTCGTTCATTTAAGAATGCAAATTACCTCGGCATTCCGATGAAGACGGGAATTAATTTGCTTTCGCTTTCCTGATTTTTTTTTTTTCATTCATTTGCATATTGCTTCATCCTCTGACTTTCTTTTGGAAACTTGTTAATTCACTTAGGTTTTTGGTGTTCGGTCTGAACATGCCGCTGGCATCGCCATTATTTAATGGCCTGCATCTAATCTGCTTCCGGTGAACTGGGGCAACAGCCTATCAAATAGAATGTCGCGCTCACAAATGCGCATGCGCATAAAACAGTTAAGTCACTAGCGTCAGCAAATGCATATTTACTCGCATTAAATCTAATATATATAATATGAATATCTTATAAATAGTCTCACATTCCATAAACGCAAAAATAACGAGTACTGAATTCTGAAAGATAAAATACAAAAAATACTTTAAAGTCCGTATAGAGATATATGCGTGCATGCGTGTATGTTTATTAGCATAATTTTCATGTATATAATCATCTTAGTGTGTGTTTCTGTGCGTGTGATAACAACACACTATTTTAAACGAATATAGGGATCTTCAGTAAGGATTTAATGCATGTGTCGATGTGTGAGAGAGATTCAATATTGTATTGTACGTAACATTTAATTTAAAAGAGGGTACAATGCAGAGTGGACCTAAATATTATTATCTGTCACTCAGCAGTGGTTTGACATCGCCCGAGGAGACACCTTTGTGGTGTTGAAAGATGAGTGTAATCGTGTAGCGATTTTTAACATGTTCTTGTTTTAATGTCCTAATATATATATATATATATATATATATATATATATATATATATATATGATTTCATCACATATTCTAACCACAGCAAGACGCCTTTCCCACTTCCCAACCTGTAACTCTATTCATCAAAGTTTGCAATTTCTTTCCTGCCACGACACACACTAGGAATCATAAACCTGCCTAAAGCTTCTACAGTGGGAAAAAATTTAAATGTAAGTTTATTTTCATAAAAAAAATTTCGCATATCAAGGTATCTCACAGAGATTGTTTTTTGCTAACAATAACATGTCTACTGGAAAATACAGCATCTACAAAAACATCTGTGGTGAGTAATTACCATTTCTCTGCTGATTCCTCAGTCCATAGATAAAAGACACAGTCGTGTCTAAAAATTACGAAATCAAACGTTTCTCTACGTGTTTCATTTCTGTCATATGGCCAATAATTAATATTTAGTAAATGTTTATCGTACTGATTATATTGATACCCTTTCGTTTGTCCTTGTTTCATTAACTAACCAAACTATTATATATATATATATATATATATATATATATATATATATATATGTGTGTGTGTGTGTGTGTGTGTGTGTGTGGGTGTGTGTGTGTGTATGTATGTGTGTGTGTGTGTGTGTAAAAGACAATAGAAAACTGTAATATTAGCAGACGCGTTTCATCCCATGTGAACATTTTCAAGGCAAAAACAGAAATGAATTTATTAAAACAAAGTTACTTTCAATAACAAAACAAAATATCCTAAGCCACTGGAAGAATTTTGTTTTGTTATTAACGGTTCCTTTGTCTTAATAAATTCATTTCATTTTTGCTTTGAAAAATTCCACATTGGACGAAACGCGTCGGCTTACATTACAGTTTTCTATCGTCTTTTACGTTTACAAATGTTGTCATTTTCTACAAGTTAACTCTGAGAAAATTTTCATATATATATATATATATATATATATATATATATATATATATATATATATATATATATATATATATATATATATATATATAGATAGATAGATAGATAGATAGATAGATAGATAGATATACAGATACACAGAGGTAGACATAGAGATATTAAATGAAATGAAACGGATATATAATTACATAATGGGTTAAATTTACCTCATCTATTTTTGTGTTTTTGTAAAAGCCAACGTCTTCTAAGCGTGTAAACGGTAGGAAAATTCTCCGAATAATAGACACAACTTAAGCATCCGTCATTGTACTTGAAATAATTCTATACGTGATTATTTATTCAATTAAGAAAAGAAAAACAAAAAAAAATCGTAATGCCAAAGATGTAACATTAGACAAATAATTCTCTTCTATATCATATAATATTGGCGTGTTCTCTGTTGACTTAAGTTATGCGAAATATGTAGGTGCAATAAGAAACTAGAAAAGCCTTTACAGTTGAATATAAGATATTAGTTGGAACTGTGAAAAGGAAGTGTTTTAATTACCTGCATATAGAGTGAAATGAGGCGAATAATGAATGTTCTAAAATAAAGAATCTGACACTATAAACCACTGTAAAAAATCTTGAAATCTACTGAAATATAAAATCAAAAAAAGAGTTAAAAATCCAGAAAGCTTAGTAATCATAATAAAAAAAAACATATTTATTTTTATTTTGAAGCATGTAATCAGTTGCAAGCTAAACCTAATCTTTCATTTACCACTATTCATGATCGATGTTCTTTTTGTTTAATTGACATTCCTTTCAAATAAGATCAGCGTCTTACTAAGCTGTAAGGCATAATCCAGCCAAATTTCAACGGAAAAAAATTAGGTTTATTATTATACGAATGAAGATTGTTAGAGATCGATTTTCAATTCATCGTGAAGATGTGATTTATATTAAATTGCCGCAATTCTTTTTATTTTCTCTAAGATCAATTGGCTACAGACATTATAATTATATATTCTACCGTTTGTTACACGTCTAACATTTGACACTATTCCATTGCATTCTACATGTTTATTTCCCTTAATAAACAGAGATCTTGTTTCATCTATAAGTGCATGTGCTGATGTGATTGTCGCTATTAGTGGCAGAAATACGCACATACACCGTTGTGCAAAGTAATTGAAACAAAATTCCGTTATTATTTACTTTTTTTCGTATTTTTCCAATGAAACATATCCTAGTGCACATGTTAGTACTTTGTATGTCCATTTCCATGAAGACAATCCTTGCAGATTGACCACAAATTCTCTATTGGATTTAAATTAGGAGCGTTTCTGTGCCAGTATATAGTGCTTTGATTTGCTGACTGGTAAAGCTTGCCAGTGTGTTTGTGTAGCGTTACAATTTTCTTACGCTAACTTGGAGTACGTTCATCTCAGGCAATGGTCGTAGGAAAACTAATCGACAGTTGAAACAATAGTGTCTGGGCGTGATGAAAATGTGTCACAATGTATTTCAAGGCCAAAATATTTTCATCATACACCCCGAAAATAGATTCATATTACTGCATACGACTGCAAATGACCTAATCTGCGGTAAACTAGACATCGATTAAACCCTTTCACACCGGTGGGTCTAAAACTGACCGTATTGTGAAAGAAAGTAAACGAAAGTGCCCGTTTAATTTGCATACAGGGCGAATGCATGTACCACAAGAAGCAGTTGTTTTCCAATAAGTACAGAAGCTGGTAATTTGTAATTTCTTTTTCTAGACAGACGCTTCATCTCCGTAAATTTCTTCTACATCTCTTTATTTAGCACTTGCGTTCATGCCTTCTAAAAGTCTTGAACGTGTAGACTAGCACTAAGGAAAAAAGGCCATAGATAACAAAAAGTGGTCCCAGTTTCTGTAGTTTCGGTAGTGTTATGGGATCTTACCCATAATAATAATAATAATGGACTATTCCATAATTAATAAATAATGCGCCTCAGGAGTAGGCAAGGGTCAGTCGATCAAGTCCAGGAGTCAGTCACTCGCTTTCTCAGCCGACTGTTCGGTTGAACTCTCCGCCTTTGGGCGGAGAGCAAACCCAAACGAGGCTACGCCGAAGGGCGGATTCTCGTTCGGGGAGGTAAACAGTCCCTGAGCCCGTTTCTACGGGTTCAATGGGCCAATTTTGGGCCGAGCCCACGGGCTCGGATATCCCACATTAAATAACAGACTTTGTGTGACATGATGCCCCAGTGTGTGTGTGTGAGGGGGGGTGACTGAATATCGTCAGTCATTCAAGTCCTGACCGGCTGTTCGGTTGAACTCCCTCCCTTCGGGCGGGGAGGAACCCGAACGAGGCTAAGCCGAGGTGCGGAGTCTCGTTCGGGGTGGTAAACCGACCCTGAACCCGTTTATATGGGTTCAATGGGCATATTTATGGGCCGAGCCCAAGAGCCCGGAGAACCTACAATAAATAACCTACCTTGTGTCACATGCTGCCCCTGTGGGGGGTTACTGAATATCGTCAGTCGTTCAAGTCTTGACCAGCTGATCTGTTGAACTCTCTGCATTTGGGCGGGGAGGAACCCGAAAGAGGCTACGCCGAAGGGCGGATTCTCGTTCGGGGAGGTAAACCGACCCTGAACCCGTTTATACGGGTTCAATGGGCATATTTTTGGCCGAGCCCACGGGGTCGCAGATCCCACGTTAAACCGGCCTTGTGCCACATGATGCCCTCGTGGTTGGGGTGACTGAATATCGTCAGTCGTTCAAGTCGAGTCAGTCGTTCAAGTTGAGTCAGTCGTTCAAGTCGAGTCAAGAGTCGATTCAGAGGCAGTCTGAAACGGACTCGCGTTCAGACAATTACTGCAAGACATTGGAATAATGATACTGGTCCAGACAACATTGTTCTCTCTACTAAACCTGATTGTTCATACTAACACTTCTACTTCTTTGTATATATTCCTGTTTGTAATATATCTGTGTTATTCCATACCCGTGTTCGAGTTCTTCATTATTGGTTCTACATTGGACTATCACCGTGGTACAAGGAACCGCACCATAACAGGTATAAGGTCATTTTTACAGTTTGGAATTGCTACTCTCACGCCCAGTCCTGTATCGAATTCCGACTTGTCCTTAACTTAGAATATTTGGCATGCAAGGCTGCAGATGTCAATCTACCATTCCACTTAAACTATATCGGCAGGAGGATCCATCTTTTCCGAGGGAATTTGTGTGAAAATGTACATAACGCCCGCGAGAGGACATGGACTCAACACGCATAACCCAATTTTAACGTCGATAATCATTGATTTCAGAGATGTTCTCCTCAACTGGTTAGAATGCATGTCTATATGTCTCAGTCTACCATTCCATTTAACTAATATCGGCAGAGAGAGCGAGAAGGAATTTAATTCATATATTACCCTATAGAACGAAAATGTGCGAAAGTGGATGTTATGGCTTTGACCGGACTTGAACTCGGTACACAAACACAAATTTTAATGTCGATGACCATTACTTTAACCAAATA